GGGTGGTGGACGAGACTTGTTGTTGGACGTGGAGGCGATGGTGGCTGCTGCGCGGGCGGCTTGCTTGCGGGTTCCGTGCCGCGTGCGGCCGAGTTCATCTTCGTAGGAGATAACGCTTGCGTTGTCGTCTTCTTCTTCCTCTTCATCATCTTCACCATCATTATCTTCTTCAGAAGAACTTCCAGAGGAAGAACCCTTTGTCTCAGCCCACTTGGCATCAAAATCAACCAACCCCTCCCTCTCCTTCCTTCTCAGCCTCCTCAAAAGCCTCCTCCTCTTCTTCTCCTCCTCGTTACCACCCTCCCCCTCCCCTTCAGAAGAATCCTCATCATCAGAATAAACAAGATGCCCCCCCTCCCTCAAAATCTCATACAACCCCTCCTTCTCCCGCAACCTCCGCTTCGAGCGCTCAAGAGTCGCCTCATCAACGAGCCCGCTATCAGTAGAATGGACCTGCTCGAGTGCACTTCTCTTCCTGCCTTGCTCGTTACCGCCCCGTTCGTCTGCCGCTGCGCGCTGCGCGGTGCCCCTGTTGGGGCGCGCGAAGATATCATCTTTGCTATTGGTGGTGTTGGTTGATCGCGGGCGGGGTCGGGCGGGTGTGTGCTGTTGTTGTTGAGAGGTGGAGGGGGAGGCGATTAGGGAGCTGAGCTTTGTGGTGAAGGCGAGTGTTGAGGAGGAGGGTGTGTTCTTGTTCTTGTTGGAGTCTTTGGTGGCGGGGCGGGGGAGGCCGTAGAGGTTTTCGGGGGGCATTCTCCTTCTCTTCTTGTTTCTGTACTTCGTTGTCGTTGGTTTGTGGTATGTTGGATGTTTTTTAGTTTTTGTCTGCTTGACTCGTTGGTCGATTGTCGTTGATGTTGGTTATACTCTTAAGAAGATGAAGGTAAGTGGATAATGTGAGTTGATCACTGATATGAATTACTAACACCTTACTAATCACATACAGAACCTATCCAGAATCTAGATCTAGATCTATACCTATACAAAACGCCCAGCTAATGAACCGTCGCACTTAACGCTCCAAACACATATACATCGTACCAGCATTGACACCGATTCGAAAAAAAGAATGATTGAGAAAAAAAAAGGATGAGTAATTATAATCCCCGCCTATACTGCTCGTATGACGTCCCCGGTTCGTCCTGTCCAACAGGTCCATATCCACCCGTTCGCCACCGCGCCAACGGCGCCAACGGGGCCGGTTCGGCCAGCGGAGGTCCCTGTGTCTGGCTGAGTAGGTGGGTCTCGCTTTCGTCTTCAGAGGCGTACAGTCCCCGTCCGACGATTGGCCCGCTGTCGCCGCGGGAGAGGGATGGTCGGAGGGCCGGGTGGATGTGTTCGAAGCCCGGTGCGTCGCTGGGCTCGTATGGCTTGAGGCCGGAAATAGATGGGAGGGATGGGGCTGGAGAGGATGCCCGTGAGGAGGTCGGTGACCAGGCGGAGCGCGGCGTGTGTGACCGCTCAGTCATTAGGTCGTCCGGCCGGCCGTAGATGCCGCCGCCGAACTCGTCGCGGAAGTCTGGTCGGTCTTTGAAGTAGGCAAAGTCGAGGTGGTTCTCGGGGACGACTTCGAAGGGCGCCGAGGGGCCGGTCGGTGGTGGTGCGGTGCCCGCGGCGAACTTCGTCTTGCCTGGCTGGTCGGCTGTCATGGGGTCCAGCGCGATGTCTGAATAGTCGCCGGCGGATCCGTCGAAAGAAGCATGTAGACGTCCCCGGTAGAGACGTTTGAGGGCGTCGGCGGCCCGCGCGTGCACCATGGGCGTGGGCAGCGGCCGATAGAGCGCTGGGTGGCCGAACCGCGAGCTGAGGCGGTCTGCAGCCTTTTTGCTGGAGCTGGACGGTGCCAGGGCCTCGGCGTCGGAGAGGTTGTTGCGGTTGTAGTAGCGGATGTCGGTGTCAAAAGTCCGCATGCAGTAGACCTTGAACCCGATCAGGAGGAAAGGAAGCGGAATGACGCAGTAGACCATGGTCCAGGTGCCCTTGACCTTGACGACCAGGGCGATAATGACGTTGGCAAAGGCCGTAGCGAAAACCATGCGGTTGAAGATGGCGCGCCAGAACAGGCCGCCCGATTCGTTCTTCGTCACGAACACGTACAGCAGCATGTACTTCTTCATCATCACATCGAGGCCGAAGTACAGCGCCGTGACAGGCAGAACGATGGGCTGCAGCGTCGCGAAGCAGAGCGCCACCGTCGCGTAGTACAGGAAGTAATTGTAGTAGCTGGCGTACTCAAAGGGCGTCGGCGCCGTCCACTCGATGGCCTGTCGCGGCGTCGGTGCGAGGAATGTCTTGGAGAACCAGACCCAAAACAGGCTGACCAGCTGCACGAGGTCGACGGTGGCGCCGAGGTTGCGCTGCAGCAGGTACGTCACCCAGAAGGGGGAGACCTGGCACAGCGCACTCATGACCTTGCCGTAGAACTCGCCGTCCTGGATCGCCTGCCAAGCGTTCTCGTCGTGGTTCTTGGCGTCGATGACAGCGGCGACAAACGTCCAGGCGGCGGAGAAGAGGGAGAAGACGATCAGGTTGTTGAAGACGAAGAAGGAGTAAAGGTGGTTGAGGACGTGGCGCTCGCGCGAGGTCTTGGTCACGTCGCCCGCCTGGATCGATAAGCGGCGGAAGATAATGGGGAGGATCATGTAGAAGAGCGAGGTGACGGCGGGGGACAGGATACCCTGCACGGCGGCCCAAACGTAGGGGCTGCCGTTAAGCGACGTCTGGAACGCGGGCCAGACCAGTCCCAGGTTGGACAGGTTGGACAGGAAAATGGCGATCAGCGCGTTGGGGGCGATCCACAGCACCGTCAGGATGGAAACCCAGATCACGTTGACGAACCGCTTCCACCGGCGGCCCTGTTTCGACAGTGGCAGGTTCTCCCAGATCAGATCGCTGGGCCGTGGGGCCAGCTGAATCGTGGTGCCCTGCGGGTGCTTCTTGCGCGCCGTGTAGGCCACGGCGTGGGCGTGCTCGATCATGTCCCAGCTGACGAAGCCGAACGACAGGGCGTTCCGCTTGTCGACCGAGGCCCGCACGTGGCGGATGTTCTCCTCCAGGCGCTGGATGCGGTCCGTCAGGTAGTCGATGGCGTCAACCTTGCCCCCGTCCTGCTCTAGCTGCCGTTCTTTGCGCGGTATCCGCATCGTGGGCCGGGGCGGCAGCCGGTCCGGATTCTTGAGATACTTGGCGAGGACCGATTCCAGCTTGCGCACCGTCTCCTCGTGATCCTTGATCATGACCGGGAGCCCTTTGACGTTGCGGCCGATGGACGCGCGGGGCAGGGCCGCGGTGGGATTCACCTGGTCGGTCAGGCGCAGGACGCCTTCGTCGGAGCGAGCAATCTGGGGGATATCGGTGATCTAGTCGGTTAGCTGAAGTCGCATGGACGGTAGACCCCCGGGAAAATAAAAGCACACATACCATCAAGGTTCGCGCGTGCAAACTGCGCTGGTAGTCAGAGCTCTGAAAGTACCGTCTCCGCAAGGCGGCAACGGCCTTGTAATTGCGCCACAGGAAGAAAACAACAATGATGTCAAAACACCAGGCGCAGACGACCTGGCTCCACGCGGCCTCGGTCTTAATGTAGAGAGGGGTCATGGTCGCAAAGGCGGATAGGGTATCCCTGGAGGACATGTTGCTCTGGGTGAGGTTCAACGGGATCATGACGCCGCAGCCGATGATGCTCAGACAGATGAAGATGTTGCGACACATCTTGGTGAAGCGCAGGAAGACAACGGCGTCGAGGCCGATGCACTCGACGAGCTCGGGCTCTTTGGTGCGCAGGACGGGCTTGAGCCAGGCGAACATGCCCTTCCCCACCGGGGGCGGCGCGTGTCTGCGATCGGCATGTTTGACCTTGGGAGCGTAGACAACGGAATGACGCGGGCGAAAGAGGGAGAAGAGCAAGGCGAGGATGATGGCGAAGCCAGCGGAGGTGGCCAGAGAGGCCCAGACGGCATTGACTTGGAACTATGTAGTCGGGAGGGTTAGACGGGGAGAGATTAGGTATGGGTATGGGAGATGGGATGGCAGTACCGCAGATTTAAAGGGATCCTGGATGAGTTTGAGGAACTGGTCTGTGGAGGATGGACCACTGTCACTCCGGGGGAGAATTGTCCGGTCCATCACGGGGGAGGGGATGTCTGCATGGAGGAACTCTAGGAGGAAAGAGTTCCGACAGGAGGTATGATCGAGAGTACTCCGTAAAGGAAGGGAAAAGAACAGGAAAAGTGCAGTCAAAGAACAGAAGAACCGGGAGAAAGAAAGACAGAAACAGAAAGACCGACTACAGAAGAAAGAAAGAAAGCAAGAAATGTTGGTGGAGAGAGCAGAACAAGTGGAGCCCAGATCGGTCAGTCTGGAACATGCACGAGGATATCCCAGGTTAATTTGATTTCCTGAGTGGGGGAGACTCCATCACATCCAACCGTATACTCCAATAGACGATGTACCTGGTGACCGGACCTGGACCACCACGCTGGCCATAACGGTCATGACCCGGAGAAATGACCCTGACGGACGTGACCCCGAGAGGAGGCCCCCCGTCCGTTATGGAGGGTGGTGGAAGAGTAAAGCCAGCAGCAACATCCTGGGGCGACAGAAAACAAATCTATTTTGGGTAGTGCCAATCAGGTACCGGGTGGAGGCATGAATCTGGAACATGCTAACTTGGTTTGGATGGAGACTGGTTTGTTCTGAGACCGAGTGGGGCGGAATGGATTGTTGTCTGTGGTTCAAGAAGAAAAGAAAAAAGAAAAAGAAAAAGAAGAACCGACGGAGATCATCCATCAATCAGATCACCTGATTTGCCTTGTGTCTTTTTATCCGTATTAAGTATATCTGAGTACTCAGTTAGGGATATTCTCAGATAGGGCTTAGACTATGATTGACTAGTCAAACGTTGATAAATATAGAATTAGACTAGACAGTCGATAGTGTATACCACTCGGAATCATTCCATATCCAATTCAACCAAAACAACAAAAGAATATCAATAAAATAGCCTCTACTGGGGGTCGAACCCAGAGCCTCTTGATAGCAACTTCTTTTACCCTATGGATGGCATTGTAGAAGTCAAGCGCGCTACCGATTGCGCCATAGAGGCTGGAATGGAACTCGATTTTGAGTCGGGTTGTTTATGTCGTGACTTCACTGCTAGTATCTGTACTCTTACTCTACTTGAAGAATGTTCACCTTGTAGAAAGGGTTGTAATTCATGACCTGTTCAAGCCTACAGATCTATAACAGTACGTCTGCCACAGGAACTGGAGATTAAACCACACTAGATGGTTGACCTGGACTAACCGGATCCAGTTACACCTACGCTCCATTACTTAAAAGTTCAATATCAAACAGCTCTACTCTAGACATTTTTTTTTTAATAAAATGTGCAATTATTTGCAATTTTGTATGTACTGGTATCGGATCTCATCACACGTTGCCCACTATCCCATCACATTACCAATGCCCTCAAAGACATAAAACACGAGAAACTAAGAAGAGAGGAAAGGAAAAAAAAAACTGTTTACAGCTGGCCAGCAGTGTTGAAGTCCTCCAGGGCCTCCTGCACACGCTTGCTCATGCTCTTCTCACCCTCACGCACCCACACGCGGGGGTCGAAGTACTTCTTGTTGGGCTTGTCGGCGCCATCGGGGTTACCGACGGGGGTCAGCAGGTAGTCCTTCTTGTTGAGGACGTAGTCGCGGACGCCGGCCATGTAGGCGTACTGCATGTCGGTGTCGACGTTGACCTTGACGACACCGTAGCCGATGGCCTCCTTGTACTCGTTCTTGGAGGAGCCCGAGCCGCCGTGGAAGACGAAGAAAACGGGCTTGTCGCTCTTGGCGCCCAGCTTCTCCTGCACGTACTTCTGGTGCTTCTGCAGCAGCTCCGGGTGCAGGCGGACGTTGCCGGGCTTGTAGACACCGTGCACGTTGCCGAATCCAGCGGCAATCGAGAAGTAGGGGCTGATGGGGGCCAGGGCGTTGTGGATGGCCAGGATGTCCTCGGGCTGGGTGTACAGCGAGTTGTTGTCGACATCCTCGTTGTTGACGCCGTCCTCCTCACCACCGGTGATACCAATCTCCTGTTCATATATTAGCATCTTCTTCCTCTTTTCCACTTGCTGAGGTGTGGACATACCATCTCGAGCCACTGCTTCATGGGGGCAGCACGCTTCAGATAGGCGGCGGTGGTCTGGATGTTGTAGTCGACGGGCTCCTCGGACAGATCGATCATGTGGCTGGAGTAGAGGGGCTCGCCGTGGAGCTTGAAGTAGGCCTCATCGGCGTCGAGCAGACCGTCCAACCAGGGCAGCAGCTTCTTGGCGCAGTGGTCGGTGTGCAGGACGACGGGGATGCCGTAGGTGGGGGCGATGCTGCGGATGTAGTGGGCGGCGGCGATACCACCGGCAATGGACGCAGCCTGGTCCTTGTTGTCGACACCCTTACCGGCGAAGTAGGCGGCACCACCCTGGGAGATCTGCAGGATGACGGGGCACTTCTGGTCGCGGGCAGCCTCGAGGGAGGCGACCACGGTCGACGAGGAGGTCACGTTCTAATCCGTTAGACTCTTTCTTTCTTCTTTGCTTTCCTTCTCTTCGTTCTTCGAAGGAAGATAAGGGATCGTGACTTACGATAGCCGGGACGGCAAAGTTCTTCTCCTGGGCGTACTGGAAGAGACGGAGAACGTCATCACCGACGATGACGCCGGACTTGCGGGAGAGCTGTTCCAAGAGACCCATTGTGAATTGAATGAAGCGGGAGAGTGTAGAAAGTAGAAGTGTGCGTGTAGTGGATAGACGAGTGACGGTGGAGTTGAAGTAAGAGAAGAGAAACAGAATTGGGAGACGAGCGGAGGGGGACAGAAGTATTAATAGGGAGAGGGAGAGAGGGGCGTTTACCGGACAACGAAACCAGCAGAAACCGCAGAAAAGAAAAATGAGGGGCAAAGGACTTTGGAGGACCCAGGCCAGCTACGACGACCCAAGACCAGTTACTACCTAGGTAAGAGAGGGGCTTGACCGGGTATGGTGGGGACGCATGCGATCAGTATGATTTCACAGTCCTTCTCTGTTGAGGGAGAGAAACTCATGAACAGGATGGAATTGGGATGGAATTGCACACTGGAACTATTCTCATCAAGCTATCAATTCCCCACTACCCTCCCACATCTTCCAGAATCGACACGATTGATCGGGATCATGAAGATAGAGAAATTGAAATGACGCGGATGAGGGGCCTCAGGCCAGCCCGCCATCCCGGAAACCCCCGCGTCATCACATGACATCATCACTCCGAATCCCCCGTTTCCCTCCGTTGAAGTCATCCTTCTTCATCCTCCATCAATCCTGATATTGGACAGGAAGAAGACTAGACTGGAGACATGCTCGATCCGTGGTTGCTCTTCTCCATTTGACCTCATTTGTTGCCCTTTTTTTTTTCTTCAAACCGGATGTTGTACAGAGTATATCCTCACGGAATACTGTCCTCCTAAGCTCCTTTACCGAAGTCCCTTTCCGTTTGACTTTTCCTGCTCTCTTCTCTCTTTTCTCCCACCGGTGTATGCTTAGCTTTAGCTAAATACCTCACCGAGCAGAATGGCCATCTAGCACCCATGATTGAGATCAATACCATAGTATACAACCACAGTAACAGATGGAATGTCATTGAACGACATAGAACCCGAGGGAAAATCCTCCGAGTTCCCTGTTTAATTTCCAGCAGATCCGAATAGAGCGAAGCAGCTTTACTTGATACGGCCGTGACCCCACTGTGTATATGCCCACGTGACGCCCCTACACCAATACAACTATTGCTATGACTATTGCAATACTATTGTCTCTGCAACGGCTACTAAGGGGAAGAGACCTGTGCGCGACTACTTATGCATCTCCCCCCTCTTGTCCAATCCCAGACGGCACTCTTTTCGCTTGGCCTGGTAATGGAGGGCAAGTTCGCCACTCCTTCCGGATTGAAACTTCTCCCTACTTACGGAGTACTCTGTATGTGCCGATGCTGGCCGATGGTCGGTGCGGTGGGTGGAAAGGAAACCATTGTATTTCAAAAACAGGGTTATGCAGGTGGAATCCTGTAGTGAAGGGTGATGGGGATAGTAGAAATCAGATGGATATTGCTCACAACAATGCTTAGACTACTGTTACATATGGTACACCCATTATCCCATATCGATATCCATCCATCACTGCAACATGTTGATATTGCCGCCTATTAAATCCTCCCTAATATTCAATTCAAATCAAGCACCGTTGGTCTGCGCCCCGTTGACGACCGGATGGCCATGCTCCCCAGCTAACATGCCGAACTGGCCGCCCGTCGCCGCAAAGAGGATCTTCTTCCCCGTGATGTGCTTGTTCTGCAGCAGGGTCGGCCGCTCGACGTCCTCGTTGCCGTCCCGGTGCGGCTGGCCCGCCTGGTAGTTCGTGTTGAAGCCCCAGCTGTAGGCGAGCCCGGCCTTGGTGATGGCGAACGAGTGGTCCGGTCCAGACGCCACGGACACGATCTCCCCGTCGATGCCCGGCAGCAGCGTGGGCGTCTTGAGGATGCGGGGCCGGCCCAGGTCGTCCTGCACGACGTCCTCCTCTGCCATCGTCGCCGGGTCCAGCCCCAGCGCCTTGTTGTCGATACGGCCCCAGATCAGACACTTGCCCTGCTCCGTCACCACCAGGCTGTGGTCCTTGCCGCCCTCGACGGCCTTCACTGCGCCGGCGGCGTGCTTGCGCAGCGGCTTCACCTCCGTCGGGTACTGCACCACCGCGTCGCTCTCGCCGGCCCGTGCGGCAATGCCCGTCTGTCCGAAGTTGTTCGACCCCCATCCGTAGACGGCCCCGTTCTGGCGCACCGCGAACGAGTGGTACGATCCGGCGCCGATGTCCACGATCTTGGTCGGCAGCGCGCACAGACCGGGCATCAGGGGGTTGGCGCTCGTCACGCGACCGAGCAGTCGGCGGCCCAGCTGGAACTGCTCCTCGCAGCCCCAGGTGTAGACGAGCCCGCTCGCCGTCAGGGCAAGCATGTGTTGGGCGCCCGCGGCGAGTTTGATCACGTTCTCGACGCCCGGGACGAGGGCCGGCTTCTCCACGATCTTCTTGTCGGCCTCGAAGAAGCCGATCTTGCCACTGTTGCCCTGTTATACTGTCAGTAATCACTCTAGGAGAAAAAAGAACATCGCGACCTAAAAAGAAAGAGAGAGCGTACTCGGAAAGTCCCCCAACCGTACACCAAACCCTCTTGCGTCAGAGCAAACGTCGCGCTATCCGTCGCCTCGAGCTGGGTAAACACCGTCCCCTCGGGGAACAGCGACGGGTCGACCTGCCCAGGGGTAGCCTCCTTCAGATTTTGCGTGACCTCATCCTCATCCTCGCTCTCGTCCTCGCGCGCCTCCACCGACTTCTTGTCCTCCTTGGTGTCTCGCGCCAGCGTGCCCTCGTCGTTGACGCCCCAGGTCATTATGCGGTTGTCATGCGTCAGCGCCGCGGAGTGCACACCACCCGAGACAATGTGCACCAGACCGAGACCATCGGCCGGCATCTTGGGGTTGAGGACGGGGCCCGTGATCTCGGCCTTCTTGGTCGCGTCCCCGAGGCCGAGTTCGCCGTAGCAGTTGGAGCCGAAAACGTAGACATCGAGGCGTTTGGTCGGGGCGTGTGTGAGAATGGGCTTTTCTTTTTCAACCACTTCTTTTTCATCAATTAGCGAAAATCACAACAATGATCAACCAACATATGTATAAGATAACAAACAACTATAAGATGGGGGGGAAAATGGAAAAAAAAAAAATCGCGTCAACAAACAAAGAAAAAAAATAAAAAACTTACCCTTCTTCTTCTTGCGCCCGCGAGTCGCACTGTCAGTCGGCTTCTCCTCCACAGGCGTCTCAGCCTTTCTCTTCCGTCCCGCCGTTGTCACTTTCTCATTTTCTTTCTCTGTAGCTTTTGAAGGGGCTGATCGGCGCGACGGTGCTTTCTCTGCGTCTGCAGCAGGCTTGCCGACGTTGCGCTTGGAAACGGTGGCTTGGCGCTTAGGGGGCATTGTGGGCGACCTTGACTGTGTTGATGGATAGAATGAGGACACAGTAGGAATTGAT